CTGCTTTTCTCGTGGGCGCCCTGCAACAGGTGGATCTTGCAACGCCTGTGTGAGATTTCTTCAGCTCGGCCAAGGTGCCGCTCTGCCTTGGCGATGGCCCCGTCCCCGTCCGACATCGAAGTGCGATCGAACCTCTGGAAGAGACCGCCCAGCTCATCATGAATACCAGCCGTTTGCATCTTCCCGATGTGCGCGTAGATCTCTGCTGTCTTGCGGTCAACGCTCGTGAGCGTGCACGGCAATTCCGCAATCACGTGAAGGTGTTTCGGCCCAGCGTCGCCGTCTTGAGGAGGCATCCTGAACACAGCGCCGATCTTCAACTCGTAAGCGACCACCTGGCCGCGGTGCTCTGTCTCTGCCTTGCCGAGCTCTGCAGTGATGATGTTGGTCTCGCCTGTCTCGTTCGCTGCGTCTATGATGGCGTCTGTGATGCGTTCGTGGCCGCGGACCTTATGGTATAGAGGTGTCTCGTCCATGGAGACGTGCACTGAGCACCGTAGTGCTGCCCCGCCAGTGGCAGCAACGCAACGAGCTAGTGTCTTGAATGTGCGCAGAGTCCGACGGCGCTCGATCTGAAAGGCGCACGCTGAATAGAACAGGTAGCGGTCCATCACACACGAAAAATCCTGTTGTGCTGAATCTGCAATCGAACTGAACGGCACTGTGTCGCGGGCCCCCGCGCAGGCGTCCACGCATGCGAGGCCGCTGCTGGACAGGAACTGATCGCCAGCATCCGTCGCCAAGAGGGCCCCCAGACCATCAATAAAAGTGCTGATGTAATTCCACGATCCATCTGCCTCAACTCTCGCCGAAATATCATTCATGTCATATGGGACGCGCGACGCCACCAATGAAAGATCATCTCGCAGGGGCCGATGGACGATGGCAGCGGCGTGAGGAACGACTGGCAGTGGCTCGGCGTCCGAGCGATGAAAATCAGGATCTGAATCGACGATGCCGCCCAGGAGCTCTTGCAAACTCAGGTCGTCGGCAACGTCGGCATCATTAGCTACACATTCGCGAAGAAGTAACTCCAACGATGATTGGTCGTCACTTGCATATGGATCTAACTGACACGGAGGTGCAGCGGGCCACTCTGGCATGCACTGCCGAATGGCGCACACGACGAACAAAATCATCGCGCCAAAACGCTGCGGAACGATGGGGGGGGGGGGAAAGGGACGGGGGAAGGAGGGGATGGGGCCAGGGCAAGGAAGGGGAGAGGAGGAAGGATGACAGATCGAGTCGGCGGGCTTCGTTCATTCCCAGCCGCCCTCCCACAACATAAGAAATAATGCTGGCACAACTCGGCGCGGCCCTCAACGGAGGCGGACGCGTGAGCAAACATGTCTAGACCCCGCCCATTGCCGTCATCACTGATGACGGCAATGGGCCTAACCCTGAAGAGCGTAAGCTGTGACGGGGCCTGCAACCTGTGTTTTAGCAAGAAGCCTCGGCGCGTCGAGGGCACCGCCCAACCAGTGCTTGCATCGAAAGGCAAAGCCTTGCCCTTGCGGCCAAAGGCAATACACCGAAAACCATGCCAGGGACATCGAAGGATGCTGGATCGGGTCGCGAACGCAAGGGTCAAGAAGCGTTTATGTTTGGTTTCGGCCTTGCTATTTATGCAAAGAGCTGCGCGGGGTTGTTTGTGAAAGGGTGCCTTTCGCATCACAACGAGCAGCTGGGTGGCCCGAAGGGGCCCAGATACTGTTGTAAGTGTGAGGTGTATACCACCAGAACCGCAGCTTAATTTCATTTGGTTTGTCGTCGGGCGCGATCGCAAGCACTGTTTGGTTAGCATGCGTCTCCTGTCGCGTTCCCCTCCCCCCCCCCTCCGCCCCTTCCTCCCTTCATGTCCATCATCCGTTCTGCCTTCCCTCCCTCCCGTCCTCCCTCTCCACTCGTCGTCCTCCTCCTCCCTCCCCCCCCCCATGAATTCCCATCCCCCCTCTCACCCCCCTCCGTCTTCCTCGTCCCTCGCTCCGTTCTCAGCCCCCCCCGCCCCGCCCCCCTTCGAGCTCATGCATGTTTCCTGTCTCCGCCAGGGATCCGTTCCGTTTGTTTTTTCCTACGCTGGGGCAAAAGGATCTCTTCGCCCGAGGCGCGCCTGCATCGGCGCAAGATGTTTGCGTGTCTGTGCGGGGGGCGGGGCAAACGCTAGGGCGTCTGATCGCGCGGGGCAGGCCATCGTCGCCGTCATTGATTGGGCAGGGTCGGCCCCATTGTTCGCGCTCAACTGCGGTAATGAACAACGCCAGGGGCCACGACGACTACTTGGGATGCGATGAGTGCTTCTGCGAAGCAATGTAGGCCCCATTGATTTCACAGTGGCCCCAGATTTCCCCACCCTTCCCAGACCCCATCATCAGGACACAAGTGGCCTTCGTAGGGCCAACAAAGCGAATTCCCAACTCCTATCTAAACCCGATTTAAAACCGATTTTCTGTTTTTCGCCAAAACCTATTATAACCCGATTTAAAATCAATTTTGGCGCTTTGGCAAATCAAGAGCTGTCCAGCCCTCCCTGGTTACAAACTCCTCCTGGAGTCCATCCTGGCTTCTGGCCATCTCCTTGAAATCTGACGTAAACGGACAAGTTGCAACATCGTGGAACAAAGCGCAGTCCGAGCCCCAGACCCCATCTTCGTGCTGCATTTTTCGAGCTGGATGGATCGGTGATGACCCTGGGGCCCGACACCACACGATCCTCCTCCTCCCTCCCCCTCCTCCTGCTCCTGCTCCTCCTCCTCCTCCTCCTCCTCCTCGTCCTCCTCCTCCTCCTCCTCCTCCTCCTCCGCCTCCTCCTCCTCCTCCCCCCGCAGGGGCGTGAAGGTAATCGCGCGTCACGCGGCGCGGTCCGGACCAGAGCGGCTGCCCTTCTCCATTGGGGGGCGGCGCGAGGGCGCGAGGGGCGTCGTGTGCCGCGCAGCGCGGTCTCGCGATGCGCGAAGCGACGGTCAGCCCGCACGGGAAAGATGGGCAATCTGCCTACGGGTACCCTTGCAGCGTTGCCCCTTCGGCCCATCCTCAGCGACTTTCGCTGACCTTGGCATGCTTCAGGATCTTCCTCCTCCGTCTCCTCCTCCTCCGTCTCCTGCTCCTCCTCCTGCTCCTGCTCCTGCTCCTGCTCCTGCTGTTTCTGCCCCAAGCTCGTTCGAAGAACGTTCGCAGGGCCCTCCGAGGCCCCTGCATGCCCTTGCCGAGCATCCTTGCGACATGGGCTGACTGCGGGTGGCCTGCCCCGCTCGAAGAGCCTCGACACGGCCCTCCAAGGCCCGTGCATCCTCATCGTGGAATCGGGCCTGCCCCTCTACAGGAGGGATATTCAAACATATTACTAAAACGCAGTCGGCGTTTTTTTGTTGTAACATCGTTTATATATATAAGATTAATCATACATATATATATATATATACATGTGAGCATCCACTCTTTTTTAACAAATACATATGTGTTGAGTATTTCCTGGGCCGTTTTTGTTGTTTTCATTTTTGTGGCCAAAGATCCCCCCTGGGGGACAGGCCCGACCTGACAGCATCGCGCGTCCTTTCGATGCGGCTTGAGCCGAGCACGCCGGGGGACGCCCCGCCGCCGCCCGCCGCCAGCCGCGGCCGCCGCCGCCTCGGGCGACCTCGGCGTGCCTCGCGGCCTGCCCGGGCGGCGGCGGCCTTCGGCACCTCCGCCGTCGTCTGCTTCGTCGTCTTCGTCTTCTCGCTGTCGTCGTTTTCGTCGTCGTCGTCGTCGTCGTCGTCGTCGTCGTCGTCGTCGTCGTCATCGTCGTCGTCGTCGTCGTCGTCGTCGTCGTCGTGGTCGTCGTCTGCTCCTTCGTTGTCGACCTCGTCGTCGCCGCCCTCCGTGGCCGCCGCCGCCGGCCGTGGCCGCCAGGGGGCGCCCGGCGGGCCGAAGGGCGCTGACGCAGGGGGGCCGCCGCGGGCGCAGCAGGGGCTCCGGGCACCGGGGCCGCTCTCCTCGGAGCAGGGGGCCGGGGAGCCCCGCTCGTGGCCGAGGCTCGCCGTGGGCAGAGAGGCCTCCTCCTCCTCCTCCCCCTCCTCTTCCTCCTCCTCCTCCTCCTCCTCCTCCTCCTCCTCCTCCTCCTCCTCCGGTTCCTCCTCCTGTTTTTTCTTCTCCTCCTCCTCCTCCCTCCTCCTCCTCCTCCTCCTCCTCCTCCTCCTCCTCCGGTTCCCTCCTCCGGTTCCCTCCTCCTGCTCCTCCTCCTGCTCCTGCTCCTGCTCCTCATCCCCCCTCATGACCACAGGTGCACGGGGTGGGCGGTGGTCTGTGATTCCTGCAGGCTCTCGCAGTCCTCGGGGCTTTGGTGTCGCGCCGAGCGGGACTCGAGGCTGAGCGCGCGGCGCAAGTGGTGAGGAAGCTCCGAGACCGAAGCAACGCACTCTGCTCCGAGCGATCCCCACCCGTGATCGCCCGGCGGGACCACCTGCAGCGCCTCTTGCGGCAGCACGACGACGACGATGGCAGCGTCCGATCTGCGGAGTTTTCTGCGTAATTATTCGTCGTCGGCTCGACGGAGAATCAGGTTGGGGGTACATCAATTCTGTAGTCGATCCCCTACGGTCAACCCGCATTGTGAGGGTGGGCAACCTTCCCAAGGTTGGCCTTGTGTCCTTGCCCCTTCGGCCCATCCTCGGCCGCTTCCGCCGGCCGCGCGCCGCTCGAAAAGCTTCGAAGTGGGACTCCAAAGCCCTTGCACCCTTATTTCGAGTTTCTGAATGAGCGTCGGGGGGCGACACCCCCGCCGACAGCCCCACATCGACCCCCGCTGCGGGCAGCCACCGCGCGCCGAGGGCGCTCCGACCCCCGCCTCGGCGCGACGACGAGGCGAGGCTGACCCCCGTCGGGGGGGTGCCCCCCACGCTTGTGACGAACCCCAGAGCACCCTGCGCCCTCTTGACGCGGGCGCCGCGAGCCCCGCGCGAGGCCCGTGCGCCCTTTTGGATCGTGACTGTTCTCGAGTCGCGCGCGCGCGCTCGGCGGCCGAGGCGCGGAGGTGTTCGACGCGCAGGAGGCCTGGCCGCGGGGGGCCCTCCGCCTCCTCCTCCTCCTCCTTCTCTGCCCTCTCCTCCTCTGCCCTCTCCTCCTCCTCCTCCTCCTCCTCCTCCTCCTCCTCCGCCGAGCGCCGAGGAGGAGGAGGAGGAGGAGGAGGAGGAGGATGAGGAGGAGGAGGAGGAGGAGGAGGAGCAGGAGGAGGAGGGGGAGGGGGAGGAGGAGGAGGCGCGGAGGTGTTCGACGGCGTGCGGCCCTCCGCCTCGCCGACCCCCTCGGGCGGCCCCCTCCTCCTTCTTCTCCCTCCTCCTATTCCTCCTCCTGCTCCTCCTCTTTCTTCTCCCTCCTCCTCCTCCTGCTCCTCCTCCTGCTCCTCCTCCTGCTCATTTTTTGCGGCACGCCGCCAGACCTCTGCGCTGCAGATCTGCTTGGCTCGGGGTGCAGGTTTTTTCGGGGCTCGCGGGGACCAGAAAACCACTCCCACCCCCAGCCAGGACTCTGGCGGGAGTGGAGGGTGGGTCGTGCTGTCCTCAAGAGTGGGCACGGCCCCGCGGGCTCGCCGCCGACAGACATCAGAGAAGGGAAAGGTATCGCGGTACTTCTGGGGGGCCGTCGTTGAGCCGCCCGGGAGGCCCTCGTCGGCGCCGCGGACGGCACTCGTCTCGGAGTCTGGGGCAGCGCGCGCCCAGGGAGAGAGGCTCAGGGAGCATCGGCGCGGCAGACTCGCGCCGTGCCGACTCGGCGGCGGCCCCGGCGCGGGCGTGCAGGGCGGAACGCCCCCGGCGGCCCCGGATCGGTGGATGTTGACTTGGCATCGCTCGGACGTGTGCATTTTTCCTTCGGCGGGGGCCATCGAGGAGCATCCTTGATCATTTGGCGAAGAACCCACGCACGAAGCCGAGAAAACAACACAGGGAATGGACGTCCGAGCGATGGCCAGTTGAGCGATTGGGCATTTCGGAAGCGGCGTCGACCGATCTGCGCTGTGGGTGACGCCGCGGTCGCTCCAGGTCGAGCGACGCGCACGGAGTCAGGAGCCAGCGCCCGGGACGTCGCCCCGCAGGCCTTCCGTGCGGAGAGAGCGGAGGTGGAGGCGGACGGCACTTCCAGCCCATCCGGAACAGGGCTCGCTGTCGGCGTCGCCGCAGCAGACGCTGTCCGTTCGAGGCAGAGGGTCGTCTGCCCAGTAGCGGCCGCTGCCGTTTCGGCAACACTCGCTGCTGGGCGTCGTACCCATGTTTTCCGTACCCACTCTGGACGTCCAGTGGCTCGGCGGCGTCCCCGCCGCGGGCGACGATTGTCTTGCTGCTTCTGCTGCTGGCGCTCCTCCGTGTCCTCCTCCCTCCCGCCCGCTCCTGCTGCCTGCTGTTGCTGTTGCTGCTGCTGCTCGGGGCGCTCGGGGCGGGGGCGCACAGCCGAACCGCATGGTAAGGATGGGCCACGTTATCCCAAGGGTACCCCTGCATCCTGGCCCCTTCGGCCCAGCCTTTAGCGACCTTCGCTGGCCAGCCTCGTTCGTAAAGCGCTGACATGGGCCTCCCAGGCCCTTGCACGTCCACACCGCGCATCCTTACCGGTGCGGGCTGACTGCACGGCGGGATCGTGCCGTGTCGGCACGACGGCGGCGGCCCGGGCGGGGCGGAGGTTGAGCCGGGGCCCCCACCCTGCCGAATCGGCCGGCGAACGTGCCCTTTTCTGGGTCGGGGAGGGTGTTTTTGGGCCTGCGGCTGCTGGGCGTGGCCCCGTGTCGCTTTCACGAAATGTGTGCTTGTGTGTGTGCTTGTGTGTTTGTGTGTGTGTGTGTGTTTGTGTGTTTACCAGCCTGGAGCATATCCCTATCCCTATGCTGGGCACCTCCTCATCACGATGCCAATCTTAGGGATTCCCTTATTTTTGGAGGGCGAATCCCTAAGATCGTCATCGCCTTTGGGCGTGTCAATCTTAGGGATAGGGATATGTTCGAGGCTGGTAATGCGTGTGTGTGTGAATGTGTGTGTGTGTTTTTGTGTGTGTGTGTGTGCGTGGGAGGTTCGTGTCGAGTCGACGCGGTGGCGACTCCGCCGCGGGCTCTGGAAAGCCGGCGGCGAGATCGGAGCCCCGCCCTCGCCGGTCCACGTGGTTCAAGCGGCTCGAGGGGTGGCGGGGGCAGGGTTCGGAATGGGTCGAGCACGTGGCGACATGCGAGCCCTGCTCCCGCCTGCAATATCAAGGGGAACCGGGACGCACAAATAAATACACGCAAATAAACATATCCCCCATGTTTTCCCATCTTTTCTGGGTTTTTGTCTTCCCCCCCTCTGCCCATATTTTCCCATATGTTCTGGGAATCGCCAATTAAGTGTGTCTGTGTGTTTTTTTCCCCTCCTGACATTAGGGCGCAAACAAACCTACCTCGCTTTTGACCACCCTCGCTTCCAAGAGATGCCAAGGCGACGCCAAACTGCGGCCTGCGCTGGTCAGGCCGCCTGACGAGGAGGCGCGCGGTATGACTTGGTTTTGCCCGGAAGCGAAAGCGGGGGAGGTAACCCACGCTCTGATTCATCGATCCAGAAGAATCGATGGTGGTTGGTGGGGCCAGGGGTCGGATGCCGCCACCAATCAACTTTGAACGCCGCCAGCGGCCAGGGTCGACTCATTCTCGTGCTTATTCGACTGGCTGGGCGTGTTTGTGCCATTGTGGCCAATGTTGTGAATGCGCGAGCCGTCACGTGTCTGTCGTGCTATACCAGATGTGAGCGTCCAGTTCTGACGCCTTCATCCAAGCACGTGTCACCGTCTTCTGCCGCCGCTTGCCCGTTATGAGGGACCGGAGCTGGCACACAGGCCGTCCCGCACGGCACCGTGCCAGTGGTTCAGACGCGGCCACTATTCGAGGGCGAATTTTTATCGCCCAACCCCAAATTCTTTGACGAAAAATGAAGTCGCTCAGAAAAAGTCAGAAAAGGAGGGAAACCCTGGCATAGACCGCAAGGGGTCTATTCGGACGCACCTCTATCGAGGATGGACGCCCACCTGTCGTATACCCGAGGACCAGTCCCTCTGTGCATTCAAGACAGCCCCGCGATCGATTGGGCCCTCCGTCGTGGGCAGACACGTTGCTGCTTTGAGCTTCCTCTGGGTTCCGTCGGAGCGCGCCCGGTGGCTTTGGAGGTCGTGCCGGCGCTGATTTCTGGGACCGTCGCAGTTTTCTCTCGGGCCGTCTCGGGGCCACGTTGACTCCGGATGTTCTGGTCGCCCGCCCCGCTCGTCGTCCTCCCCATCCTTCTTTATTGCTAATCGGCATCGGTCCCCTGTAACGTGCGATGCCGTTTTCAATACATGCCCCGCGTGCGGATCATGTATTAAACATGCAGGGATTCAGTCTTAAAAACAACGAGGAGTTATGTATTCATATCTTCATATCTTAGTCATGTGTTAAAGCCCCATATGTGTAAAAATCCCATGTATTAAAAACTGCTCTGCAGCGTACCTCTCTGATCGAGCCTTGGCTGGTTCGTCGCCTCGAGGAGTCCGGTGGGCTGTCGGCGGCACGCGTGCCCGGGCCTCCAGCGGATTTTTGTGTGCGTGTTCGGTCCCGGCGTGCTGTTTCCATCTTGGCCTCTTTTGGGGGCCTCCTCCTTCCTCGCGTCTGCCTCCTCCGCGTGTCTGCCTCCTCGTGCCTGTTCCTTCCACATATCTCCCATCCTCCTGCCTTCGTTTTCCCCCCCCCCCCTCTCTCCTTCATCCCCCTTCCTTTTCTCCTACCCCCCTCGCCACTCCCTCTTCGTCCCTCCTGCCTCCTTCCTCTTCTCTCCTCTCTCCCCCCCTCCTTCCTCCTCTCTCCGTCTCTTGTGCTTCCTCCTCGCGAGCCATGCATGATCCTCCATGCCAGGCACCTTCGTTGATGGCGATTCCGTCGCTTCCGCGCAATCTGGCCTTCTGGTTCTGCCTCGGCTTGGCTCCGGCTGTTTCGCCCGTGTCCCGCGGCTGTCCTGCGGTTGTCCCGCCGCGGCTGTTCCGCGGCTGTCTCGTGGCTGTCCTGTGGCTTTGCGGGGGCGCCCCGCGGCTGTGCCGCCCAACGGCCCGCTCTGCTATGGCTTTCCCGCGACTGTCCCGGCGCAGTCCTGGCGCTTTCCCCAGTTTGTTGAGGCCGTCTTGTTGGTCGCCATTCGTAGCAGCACGTAGCAGTTCGTGCCCCTTCATACCATTGACATCATCATTGTAGTTGCAGTGGCAACGGCGGACACTGTTCGTATCATCGCACGGCGACGGCGACGGCGACGGCGACGGCGAAAGCACTCAACCACCATTAACCTGTGCAGATTTTTCGCTCTGGGAGCGTCTTGAAGGCCTCTCGGGGCCATCGCGTGGCCCTCTTGGCGCCAGTTTGGAGGCCTTGGGCCCTCTAGGGGTTCTCTGGCGGCTCTCAGGGGCTCCCTGGGGGTTCCCTTGGATCCCTCTTGGCGGGCCTGGCGGCCCTGTTAGGTCCTGGAGGCCATCGATCCATGAGGGGGGGGAATTCATTTCCCCCCGCCCCCCCGTCGGGGCCTTCAAAATCGCCGTTAGGGCCCTACTGGGGCGCTCATTGGGGCGCGACTGGGCACTCGTGGGGGTCGTTCGGGGTCCTCTTGGGCCCCTCGTGGGGAACGCTTGGGAAATCTTGGAGCCATCTGTAGTCTTCGCGAATCCATCGGAAGCGATAGCGGCGAGAACGCACCGCAAACATGTTTTTCAACAGCGCTTTTTATAGGTTTTTGATTTCTTGGGGTCCTCTTTGGGAGGCGCCGTGGCCACTTGGAACCGCTTTGGGGCAGACATTGGACATTTTGGAGCATGTCCAAACTATCTGAAACCAGTGTGGGCTATTTGGAACGATCCAGGATGGGGCCATCAGCGGTCGTCTTGGGGCCGTGTTGGGCCGTCTTAGGCGTCCTAATCCATCGCAGGGGGGTGGCTCCAGGCCCGTGGGGGGGGGCCTCCCCGAAGAGGGTACCAATTGGATGCAGATGATTGGCAGGAAGGGGCGCGGGCATGGACGTGGCGGGCGCCAGGCGGGAAGGAATCGTGGAGGCGAACGGCGAGGCAACGCTCAGACGGCAAAGCATGGGCACGCGAGTACGAGCATGTATAACTCGATGGCCATGGGCGTGTGGAAGTACATGCAGCCCCTGCTGGTTGAGAAATTGTCGAAACTGCCGGGCACGGTGGGTAGGTCAAGGAGCCGACACTCATGCGGTCAGTGATTGGCGGGCAGGGTGGGCACGCTTGCGCGCACGAGCCCACGCGCAGCTGAACGCGCGCACGCGCGAACGCCCGCATGCATGCACGCATGCGCGCGTGAGCCTGATTTCCAGGCGGCTCGCGCCGAAGTCCTAACGGCGCTTTCGGGCGTGAGTGGCCTGGGGAGCTCGTTTTTGTTAACCCCCACTGATCCCTGTCTGGTCCTGCTTCGGTCCCGTCGCTGTGCTAATGGAGGATGACGGTTAATAAATGACCGGGGGTCGTGTTCACGTGGCGGCGCCCGGGATGATGATTAGAAAAAACCGGCCGCGGGCTGGAAAACTATTTTTATCGTTCTCCTCCAGTCAGAAATCTGTGCAGAAATAGCAGAAAGCTATGTTTTAATCGTTCTCTCCCATTTTTTTATTAATCGTCATCCCGCATTACCGCAGTGCTGCCGCGGCGCAGCCACCCTCAACTGCTTTGATGCGGCTGCCCCTTCCTCCCCTCGCCTCGGCAGCATGGCCGCGCCGCGGTCCCGCGGCTGTCCCGCGGCCGTCTCCTCGTGGCTGTCCCGCGCGCTCCTTCCTGCACGCGGGGGGGTCGCCTCGACGGGCGCGTGCCGCGGCCTCCTCACCGCCTAACCCGCCGCTCGAAGCCTGAGTCAGTCGCAGGCCCAGCTTGCAGCAGCCAGGCTCACGGGCAGCCCACTCGCAGGCGCTTCGCGGAAGGATTGCGACCGCCCTGCAGCTGCTGCAAATCACAGCGATCACTGCAGCAGCCCCGTTCAGCCATGCCCCCTCCGTGTGGCCGGCCCTGGGCGTTGCAGACGGGGGTATTTTCAGCTGGGGCAGTTGTAACGCCAATGACCCCCGTTTAGCCCCAGACATGCAGCGTAATGCCCGATAGGCCCAGGGCCAGTCCTGAACCAGCACCTTGGGAATACTGCTGGAAAGCAGAATTACGCAGCACAGCGTTGCAATCCAGGAAGCCGTCAGTCCGTTCATCGCTGCCTTGGCCTCCCGCGCCGCCGTCGTAAACAAGAATCACGACGGACATCGTTTTGCCTGTTTTGGCTTCGCGGGGTCTTCCCTGGGCCCCACGGCTGTCAATAAAGGCTTCGGTATGAAATAACGGCTCTAAGGTGTTCGTTGTTTTATTAATTGTTTTTCCGATCGGCGCGGGCCCTCGCCCCCCCCCCTCCCCCCTCCCTCGTGGAGTAGATCTTGGCTGTTGTTTGGCGCCTTTTTCGAGCGGGTGGAGTCTTTCCCATGACTGACGCACTGCTGCAAACATTTGCATTAAGCAGAGGTCTGGAGCCAGACCCCCACCCCTCCCTCCCCCCTTCCGCCCCATGTCGAAATGCCGAATGGAGAAAAACTTTCACAAGGACCCGTATTAAACACATCAATATCTCGATTGTTTGGGGCACCTCAGAAGGGGACGCAAAGGGGGACAGGCCCAGGGACAGAGAACGGTCCTTCAGGTCGGGGCCTCCCTGCAACAGAGCCGCGACGTGTGGAATCTCAAAATTAGCTCGGCCTCTGGAAGTTGCTGTCCGGCCCCGGGATCGGCCAAAAAAAGCCGACTCGAGGTGAAAACTAAGCCCAGCAGGGAAGTGGTCGAAGGTCCAGGGTCTGCGTCGAATTCCGAACTCTATCCTCGCTGACCAACGATTCGGGCAATTCGATGGGCGGCGGGGGTAGGGCTCGGAATTCGTCGGACACGTGGCGAAATACGAACCCTACCCCCGCCCCCCATCACTTCAGGAGAATCGATGGTTGGTGGGTGTAGGGTTCGGGTGTCGCCACCCACCAGGGGCAGGCACCACGAACAAAAGTGCAAACGCCGAAGGAAAACCAGCCATGTGATGTTTTGCTCTTTATTTCAACGCGCGGCCCCCGGAAGTAGTCCCGACCCATTCCCCTGGGCCAGTTCTTCAGCCTGGTTCTGTTTTTGACGGGCCCGGGGGCCCGGCGAGGGCTTCAGAGGCCGAACGTAGCCGAACATTTCGACGCGAGCATGTTTGGGGAGGGAGGATCGGGGGTCTATAGTCGGGTGTTGCTAAAGGTGCCCCGGGTCCAAGATGTTCCCCAGCCTTTCGCTTCATCCTGGAGGCTCCCGGGGCCCTCGGGGCCTCGCGACGGGTTCTCTGGAGGCCGTGGGGGCCTCTGGGGCCTCGCGACGGGTTCTCTGGAGGCCGTGGGGGCCTCCTTGGAACTGCTGGGGGCTCCTTGGGCCAGGGGCACTCCTGGCAACGTCCGACATCAGGATTTCGGGACGTCTCCCGACGTCTGTTTTGGGGGCGGCGCGGGTGGATGCGGGGGCGGGGTGGGGGCCGGGCAGCGCCAAGGGGCCCGGTCCCAGTCTTTGGCTTGCCCCCCCCCCCCTCACATCCTGCCTCGCCGATTTTTGTAGCAGGGGAGGGGGAAGTGGACGGAGGAGGAGGGGGATGATGATGATGATGACGATGATGATGATGATGATGATGATGATGATGATGATGATGATGATGATGATGATGCTGATGATTATGGTGATGATTATGGTGGTGGTTGCGGTAGTGATGCTGATGCTGATGCTGATGGTGGTGATGATGATGACGATGATGATGACGATGATGATGATGATGATGATGACGCTGATGGTGTCGATGATGCTGATGGTGTTGATGGTGATGCTGATGGTGGTGATGAAGGTGGTCGTTGTGGTGGTGATGCTGATGCTCATGTTGATTATGATGATGCTGATGATGTTGATCATGCTGATAACGACGATGATGATGATGATGATGATGATGATGATGATGATGAAGAAGATGATGATGATGATGATGATGATGGTGTTGGTGATGCTGATGATGATGGTGGTGATGGCTGTGATGACGATGATAGTGGTGGTGGGGATGAAGATGCTGACGATGATGACGATGGTGGTGATGATGATGGTGATGGTGTTGATGCTGATGCGGATGCTGCTGCTGATACTGCTGATGTCGGTCATGACGATGACGATGACGATGACGGCGATGGTGACGGCGATGGTGATGTGGATGATGAAGTTGACGGTGATGATGATAATGTTGATAATGCTGATGGTGATGATGGTGATGCTGATGATGATGGTGACGACGATGGTGGTGATGATGATGCCGATGCTGATAATGATGATGATGATGACGCCGATAGCGATGATGACGGTGATGATGATGATGATGATGATGATGATGATGGTGATGCTCATGATGATGTTGAGGCTCGTGATGATGATGCTGGCTGTTGCGTGATTGAGTCAGTGAGTGATCGTGTGTGGTGAATGTGTGACTGGTGTTTGCGATGACGATGATGTAGATGGGGACGATGATGTTAACGATGGCGGTGATACTGATAGTGATGATGATGGTGATATTGATGATAATTCTGATTGATGGTAATGTTGATGATTATGATGATGATGGTGGTGATGATGATGATGGCCATGGTGTTGCTGCTGATGCGGATGCTGCTGCTGCAGCTCATACTGCTGATGCTGGTCATGACGATGACTGTGTTGGTGACGGCGAGGGCGATGTTGATGGTAAAGATGACGGTGATGATGTTGACGATGATGATGCTGATGTTGGTGACGATGATGATGCTGCTGCTGATGATGCTAATGATGATGCTGATGATGGTGGTAGTACTCATTATGAGCCTTTGTGGTTTTTGATGGATGTGTCGGTGATGGCCAGGATGCTGAAGTTGCTGTCGAGGATGGTGGTGATGCTAATGGTTACGTGAGGCGACGGCGATTTTGCTGTCGCGAATGAAGGAGAAGGTGGTGATGATTGGGGTGAGTTTGGGGAGCAGAGCGATGGGACGGGGCATCGTGAGGAGGATTCCAATGGCGGGGTGACGTGTGTAGGGTGGCGCCTTGGTGGGGATGTCAGAAGTAACCCCAGTGTTTCGCAATTCTTGTGGCGCGCCCCGAGGCGTGCCACTCGCAGAGCTCGGCGCGCTGACCACGGGGCGACGCGTTCACGAGCTGTGCGAATAGGATAGCTGATCCCTGCGCGCGTTGTTAGTAGACTATGTGCTGCCAGTGTGGTCCCAGCTTAGTTTTTGCGCTGTGCGGTGCGCAAGCTGTTACAATGCGACAGCTGCTGCCAGCACGCCCCGTCGGTAGTCCATGTGCGACCTCTGGTGGCCCCAGCAGCTCAAGTACTCTGGTGGTCCCAACTCCTGTAGGTTTGCGAGGCGGGCCCTTCGACTCCCTCCGTGTCTCGTTCTCATGTAGCTTAGCAGATCTCTCTCTCCCTCTCTCCATCTCTCTTTCTCTATCTCTTTTGTTGGTGTCTCTCTCGCTCTGTCTGTCTGTCTCTCTCTCTCTCTCTCTCTCCGACAATGTTAGCACGGTCGCTACTATCGTCCTGTCTCGTGCTGAGCACCAAAGGTGCCGGGTCGAACGGGGTTCCGTAGAGCTCATTCTTCGTATTAGTGTGAATCATAGGGGCACGCACACCTCCCCCTCCCCCGCCACCTTTTCTCGCCCCTCAGCGCCGCTCAGCGCCGCGCTACCCTTCTCCCCTATAGGGATCCATCGGGGGTCCTGAGGATCCTCAGGGAATCCTGATGAACCCTAGGAATCCCTCTTGGGGAATCCACAGGAATCCCTGGGGAATCTTCAGGAATCATAGCTCCACATTGGGTCCTGGGATGGTGACTCACTAAGGCCCTCCTGGCCCAAGCCAGCAGGGCGTGCACACGGTGCTGGGGGCCCCGGATGGCCCTGGCCAGGCACAGCCGTGGTGCACAGGTGCCGTCTACAGTAGGTACGTCAGGTGAGAAACTGGCCTGCCAGCAGATGGCCCGCGGCGGTTTCCTGTCGCCCGGTGGCCTGTGGGTCCACTCAAGCCCTGCTGGGCATGTCAGGAAGCGGAGCATTTGACGACAAAGGGGCCCCAAGATTTCTAGCAAGGTTTCTCATCGTATGCGTCTACTGTACCCCCCACCTGTCTCCCCCCTGCCTTCCCGCCGTGGACGTCTTGCTTTTCCGATGCGGGGTCCCAGGGCTCGGCGATGGCCTCCGGAGGCCGGAGACGGCCCAAACCCTTCCGCAGTGTTTTCCCTACGACGCGGGCATGTCAGGCATCCTACTTGAAGTGTCTACGGTACGCCCCTACTCATCTCCTCCGATGATGCTGATGCTGATGTTGATGCTGCTGCTGATGCTGACGATTATGATGCTGCTGCTGATGCTGACGATTATGATGCTGACGCTGACGATGATGACAACGATGACAACAATGATGATAATGATGATGATGATGATGATGATGATGATGATGATGATGATGATGATAATGATGATGATGATGATGACGATGCTGCTGATGATGATGATGATGATCACGACGACGACGATGTTGATGGTGATGGTGCTGGTGCTGGTGATGATGATGATGCTGATGACTCCGATTGTTCATGATGCTGATACTGATGCCGATGCTGACGCCGATGATGATGCTGATGATGACGAGGATCATGATGATACGGATGAGGATCATACTGACGACGATGCTGATAATGATGTGACGATGCTGATGGTGATGCTGATGGCGATGAGGATGAGGATGAGGATGAGGATGAGGGTGAGACTGGGGATGATGACGAGGACGATGCTGATGCTGATGATGATGATGATGATGATGATGGTGATGATGATGATGATGATGGTGGTGGTGATCACGACGGTGATGCTAATAATGCGGATGGTGCTGCCGTTGCCGATAATGATTATTTTGACGATGATGGTGATGATGTTGTTTAGGGTGTTGATTTAGATGAGCATGCTGATGCTGATGATGTTGCTGTGCCTGTTGCTGTTGATGTTGCTGTTGCTATGAGGCTGGCGCTGCTGATTATGTTGACTACGAGTGTGATGATGATGATGATGATGATGATGATGATGATGATGATGATGATGATGATGTCGATGATGGCGATGCCGATGATACTGATGACACTGATGATACTGATGTTGGTGACGATGATGATGCTTCTGGTGGTGATGCTGATGCTGATGCTGATGCTAATGCTGATGCTGATGCTGATGCTGCTGCAGCTGCTGCAGCTGCTGCTGTTGATGATGTTGATGATGTTGATACTGATGCTGATGCCGCTGATTATGCTGATGATGATAATGATGATACTGATGATGATATGACCATGCTGATGATGATGGCGATGATGATGATGATGCTGATGATGGTGACGATGATGATGATGATGATGATGATGATGATGATGATGATGATGATGATGATGATGCAGATGATGATGATGATGACGACGACGACGACGATGATGATGATGATGATGATGATGATGACAATGATAATGATGATGACGAGCTGATGGTGGTGATGATGGCGATGGCGGTGACGATGGCGATGCTGATGATGACGTCCCCATTCGCCTCCCCCCAGCATTCCCGCCGTGCACCCCATGGGAGGAGCCTCTTCCTGCTGCCCCCCGCCGGCGGGCCACGCCCGCCGCCCTGGCCCGGCCAACGCGCTGGCGTGCGGCGGGCAGCGGCCGCCGCTCTGCCCCCGATGCCGTGTTTTTGAGGCGGTCGCCGCCACAGGCGCCGGGCCAGTCCGGCCTCTGCCGCCGCCCACCCAGACGTGCGAGGAGGGGAAGGCACCCCGACATGCCCCACTCTGCGGATGCCTACAGCATTGTAGTATCATCACCGTAATCATCATCGTCACCATCACCATCACCATCATCATCATCATCATCATCATCATCATCATCATCACCACTACCACCACCACCATTCATCATCATCATCATCATCAGCAGCAGCAGCAGCATCATTCATCATCATGATTATCATCACCACCACCACCACCATCATCATCATCACCATCATCATCATCAGCATCATCATCAGCATCATCATTACCATCATCATCATCATCATCATCATCATCATCATCATCATCATCATCATCATCATTATCATCACCATCAACATCATCATCGTTCATCATCATGATCACGTTTATCATCATCATCATCATCACCAGCATCATCATCACCATCACGTGTGCGTTGTCGTGTCGCTCTGTTGAGTCACCTCACACGTGTATCTTTGACTGCCTCGCGCGTTTCACGTGCCTGGCGCTGCGGCGCCCGGCGACGCCCCAGCTTGCGACAGCTGCAGGTCCGATGCCCGATGTCCCCACCTTCCTTCAGTCGGGGAGGTGTGGAAGGCGTGTGGGAGAAACGGAGGGGAACGCGAAGAGCCAGAACATATTGAAACGCCTTCGGGATCCCACATTCCTTCCGCACCGGGCCACTTCCTCCCTCCCCATGTCCTCCCTTCGCCGACGCGACCCCACGTTCCGCACTCCGTCCTCCCTTCCTTCCTCACGTTCGCATTCCTTCCCCCCCTCCCTTCCTCACTCCCGCACCTCCTTCCTCACTTCCACACCTGGTCACTGGCACGAGGGGCCCCATGGGTGGGAGCACTGGCACCAAGCCCTGGGGCCCCTCTCGCCCGTGCGCCCCCCCCTGCCTCCGTGCCTCCCTCGGCCCGAGGCCCGTGCTGGCGCGGGTGCGCGGCAGGTGTCCCCTCTGCGTCGTCGGGTGCGCCCTCCTCCTCCTCCTCCTCCTCCTCCTCCTCCTTCTCCTCCTCCTCCTCCTCCTCCTCCTCCTCCCCCTCCTCCCCCTCCTGTTCTACGGGAACAAGCACCAGCGAAAACTCTACTTTGTGGAAGCCCGCGCGAGCTCCCTGGGTCGGCGCTTGGTCCCCCCATGGCGGCGCCTCTGGCGCCGCAACTGGCGCGCTGTGCGCGCGCCGGTGGTGGGGGGGTCCAACGCCGATTCACGACATCCGCAAGGACGTCCCGGGGCCGGGCCTCAATAGTCAAATTGCGCTACCGAGGAGCCCCACTTACTTATCCCATGCCCTGCGTGAACCGCACTACCACTGACACCACCACCATGCTCTTCTTTGATGCCCCCTGCGGCCGCGCGCAGAGACCGCCCCCTTCGCACCCCCCCTAAGGTGTCGTGAAACTGCTACGCCTGGAAGGATTTGCGACAGTGTCGTGGACAGCGGCCGCGCTCAGAAACCACCCCCTGCGCACCCCCCCCACGGTGTCGAGAAAGTGCCACGCCTGCTATGCCCTGGACGACTGGCGCGTATAGGGAGACCACCCCTTGCGCACCCCCTCTGGTGTCGAGAAAGTGCCACGCCTGCTATGCCCTGGACGACCGGCGCGGATACGGGGACCATCCCCTGCGCACCCCCCCACGGTGTCGAGAAAGTGCCACGCCTGCTATGCCCTGGACGACTGACGCGTATAGGGAGACCACCCCTTGCGCACCCCCTCTGGTGTCGAGAAAGTGCCACGCCTGCTATGCCCTGGACGACTGGGGCGTGCTGTGCTCTGCTGAGCTGTGCTGTGCTCTGCTGAGCTGTGCTGTGCTGTGCTGTCCTGTGCTGTGCTGCGGTCTGCGGTGCTGTGCTGTGCTGAGCTGTGCTGAGCAGGTGATGTCTGTGCGTGCGGGAGACCGGGTGCGGCGCGGCAGGAAGGAAACCAGAACCCCACGACACATGTGGGGACGCTTGTTCGACTATTTTGACTATTTTGATGTTTGAGCATTTGTTTTATTCTTTTGATTTTCGCAGCCCAAGTTCCGCCTGTAGGGGGACGTGCCCGACCGAAGCCTGGCCAGGAGGCTCCCGAAGGCTCGGCAGGTCCAGGCCGTGAGCAAAAACCAGCGGCGAGACCCGTTGCGGCCATTCGGAGGTGGAGCGCAGCCGGCGACCCCGAATCGGCTGATGTTGAGTTCCTCCTCCTCCTCCTCCTTCAATCAGGAGGGGAAAAACACAGACACAATTATTCGTCGACTTCCAGAAAATATGCGAAAATATGGGAAGTGGCGGGGAAGACAGACACCCAGCAAATATGGGAACATATGGGGGATCTTTTTATTTGTGTGTGTATTTATTTGTGTGTCCCAGTGCCCCTTCATTTTCAGGCAGTGGCGAAGCGTCCTGGCTCGCCCATAGCCCTAGCAAGCAATGTTCTAAGAACCCTTTTTGTGGTTGCCACGAAATGTTCTTACAACATGTCTGGCGGAGTCTGTCCTGTTTTATCACAAGGGCTTGTTTTTGTTCTTGGAACGTTTTTGGGTTCTATGAACATTTCGTGGTAGGACTATAGGAATGCCGGGACGGTCGGTCCCTGCTCAGCTCCTTCTCCTCCCTCCCCGAT